TGACATCTTTTTTAAGAAGATGAGCCAACCATCACCTATGCATGAGGTATTAATCGTAAATGTACATGTATGGTGCTGATGTCGTTATTTTAAAGCGAAAATGGGAGAATTTGATTTCCATTTCTGTATGGAAAGAAATATATTTGTTATGTTGATTCATTATGTTTGTTAATTGTTTTTTTTTTTTTTCAAAACTCTTTAAGGGTCCTCCGTCGTATGAGACCATAAGTAAGATGCAGTATTTAGACATGTTCCTCAAGGAATCGCTACGACTACACCCTGTCGCTCCAGTGTAAGTGGACTCAAAAATACACATTTAATTAACATTTATATTATTATATAAAAGGTTAGTATAAGCAGCTACATACCTTATTTTTCGCTAAGGAAATAACCCTTAATAAATTGTTGGGGGCACCTGCTTTGTTCTACCCTTTCCCTACAAACCCTTGCTTTGGAAACGGGAATTTTTCAGGGAAATAGGTTTTTCATTGGCTTTTGTGTAATGATAAAATATTGAATCGTTTATGAGGAAGTCTTTTAATCATGGTCTTTTAAGGAAAAGTCTTATAGATAGAAAGCACGATATGGGTAGAATAAGCCTCTTTAGAAACGATTACTTTTCATCATGGACTCCTTTGTCAAACTACTTCTATAAACCAACATGTTTTTACTAGTGGGCCAGGGAGAACAGCCCAAGAATCCAGCACAGTGATGGGTGTTCACATTCCCAAAGGTATGAGTGTCCGCTGTAACATATACAGTATCCACATGGATCCCGAGCACTGGGGACCCCCAGACCCCAGCCTCTTCTGTCCTGAACGGTAAGGTGCTGCCGCCTATCGATTTTTGTATGATATTGCTATATTTCAACTTGAAAACGAGTTGTTGTAAACTGAGATAAACTATGGAACTATTATTAAATCTAAATCTTGGTTTTTACATTTGAAATGTTTGTCTTAACTTTTCAGTTTTTTCTCTCTCTAAAACCCTTTCAGTCTTGTTTATTATCCTATTACCTTGTCTTTGATTATAAAATACAATTAAATAACTGTTCGGAGAATGTTTTTAGTTATTAGAAGAATCGTTTTATTTTAATAATAAATGTTTAAGCTTTGTAATTGTAAAGTCATCCAAATGCCATCCAGGCGTATTCATGCTCAGCTATAGTGGTTGGTGAACACGGTTCACGTGACACGTAATTCTACGTCATCTTTGTGCTGTTCTTCTATCCAGGTTCACGGCAGAGAGGATTGCTAAGCGTCACCCTATGGCCTGGCTCCCATTTGGGGCAGGCCCCAGAAACTGCATTGGTATAAGGTTCGCCCTGATGGAGGCCAAGATGACCTTGGCGTGTCTCGTGAAGAAGTTCAGCGTTGAGAGCTGTTCAGAGACGCAGATCCCACTGGTTCACGTAGCCAAGAGCACAGTGCAGCCAGAGAAAGGTGTCACCGTGCGTCTTACAAGGCGGAATGTAATGGTCAATAATACTGAATAATAGACATTAACTGAATGTATTGACAAAGTTCCATAGCTTGTGTCATAATTGCCAATGGCTAATCTATCAGCAAGACTTAGCTCACATACTTTTTCAATTTAATCAACATACTTTTTACAGATATATTATTTTACAATACAAGTTTAAAACATATAATGGCCAGCGTAACGCATGCTATAGATGAGATGTCGATATATATAATATGTTGATGGTCTGCGTAGCACCAGCTATAGATCAGATTTCGGTATATATAATACACCAATCTACAGTGATGAGTGTAACTAATATGCTTTCTTTTAATCATATGAAAGTTGATTTATTGTATTTCATGTATTGTATATTGGGAATTTTTGTATTTCAGGTAGTGTATATATATAATTATAGTATTTTATGTAATGTTTGGAGATAATAATCTGGATATGAACGTATCAGACATTCATACTCATATGAACGTCGAGGGATTTGAGAGAAATATTGCAACTCGGTACAGGTTGTCATCTCACGAACTGTCAGTGAAAAAAGGGCACTCCTCCTGGCCCCCTATAGAAGATCAGAAATATATCTGTGGTACCAGTGAAATCCAAACATTTTTGTGCTTTTATTGTATGACAATCTGTATACCCAAGGAATATCCTGCGTTAGATTTTAGAGAGGCAGAACTACGCACGACGTGCGTCATTATAAATATGCTGTAAACTGTTTGTTTACCTAGCTTGTAGCTAGCTTCGTCGGGTAGATAATCAGTTGAAGTTCCGTTTTGGGGAATATCGCCATGTTCAAAACAAGACCCTGCTATTTTTGCATCCAAAGAAAGCTGGAAAAGCAAAATAAATGATTTCTGCAGAGTCATTCGAAGAGGTTAGATTTTGGTTCGAAAATATTGAATCATTCAACGACGGCGCTGACATAGATCAAGGGATAATTGTTCATCATTTTTATTTTGAATTATACTCATACGCGTCTGACAGCGATTATGATGGGCACATGGTTAACTCGTCCGTATTAGACTTGGACAGCGATACTAACGTCTTTCATCCAAGTATCGATATTTTTCCAGGTAGTTCAGATTTTCCTGATTCAAGCGGAGAGTCCTATTTCAAGAGTCAGAAAGAATTTGGAAACTAAGAGGAAGAGGTTTGCCCACCATTTTTGGAATCGAGGGTACCTAACATGTCACATTCGGCTGGGGGTTGCCAAACAATTCCCTCATTTGAAGTAGACAGCTTCTTTCGAGGAACAGAACTAGGTCAAGGTCACACCCCGTTTTGTTATTTCCGAGCGCGTTTGCGGTTTCGAGGGCACATTGCGCGTCACATTTGGTTGACGATGGCAACTATAATATAATGATATACCGTGTATGATGTAGGTAAATTTAGTATAAAAGCTGTAATTAGGTTTTCCACAAGGGGTGGTCCCTTTTGTTTCTGACGGATAAGAGTTATGATTCTTAATTTGTATTTTTGTGGAGAAACAAAGCCTAAAATGCTACCTAAGATTACGCAATTACTGAAAAGGTGTTTAAATCACCTGCAATCCAGATATTTACTAATATTACCACGCTGTAATAGTTCAACTGTCACAACATGAGTTGAGGGCCACAGTAGATTTTGAAAAACTTAAAATGCACAGTGAATCATTAAATGTAAATCCAATACTTATAAATTAAAGAATTTCTGCAAATAGCTGCACACGGGTAAAAAAAAAAAAAAAAAAAAAAACACTGCAAACCGGTATGACAGGAATGGCAGTCCTAGGAATGGAAATCCGCGGGCTCCCGTATGGCAAGTACAGTTTAAAATTAGTAGGGAGTATTGGGGTTTGTATATAGGACGAATGTCAACATGCCGCTGCCTAACCACCGATTNGCAAACACTGCAAACCGGTATGACAGGAATGGTAGTCCTAGGAATGGAAGTCCGCGGGCTCCTGTATGGCAAGTACAGGTTAAAATTAGTAGGGAGTATTGGGGTTAGTATATAGGACGAATGTCAACATGCCCCTGCCTAACCACCGAGTGTTACCTCAACACACACGTATACCGATGTATACAAGGGTTCACACACGTACACACACGCACACACATACATTGTATACGCATAAATGCACACACACGCACAGGAATGCACACAAACATACGCATACACACGCACACACGCACACAGGCGCACACAAACATACACATAGACAAAGACATAAACTACCACCAACATCACAACTTCATCTACCCCTACCCCCCCCCCCCCCCGGCTGATCCCTTCTTTATTACACCAACCCCCGGTGTACCGTGTATATCAACAGATCTTTCCTCAACTGGAGACGTATTTACAGTACAGGATGGATAATCCTTCAAGTAACACAAGTAGTTACATCCATTTGTCTGCTCGCTGTCTTTATTTTGTCGATATGTTTAGTCACGGTTTAAATTCTGCATTCAGTCACAATTACCCACCAGCAACAGCTCTTCAAAGGGATTTCAAAGGGATTCAATGTTTTAGAAAAAGTGGACATAATATTATCAACATACCAGCAATCTTGCCCATATTATTATTTAGAGCCAGCTGAAAATAAATAGATAAATAAATAAATAAATGAATAAATAATTAGCCCCCCGACAGGACTCCCGACCCACTGTCTGAGATATAGTATTTCATACATTCAATCATTCAATCCCATCAACTTCAATGAAATTTAACTGTCACAACAGAAGGCAATGGGGAAATTTAAATGTTTTTTTCTTCTTAATTTAGAATAATCAATAAATAAAAAAGAGTCGACACTTTTAAAGCTGATCAAAATAAAATGATAATAGGCAAAAATCACCTACCTCGGTCTAACCCCATTTCACCCCCACCCCTCAAACACACACGCCACCACAACAACGTTTAATACAGCCCCCTTTACACTGGACGGCGTCCTTTCTGCGTCCAGCAGTACGGCCCCATTTGAGAGTTAAAAAAGTATAATACTTTACGTGCCGACAACTGGCCGATCATTGAGCATTCATTCTGATACAAAACCAATGCTCGTGCCTCCTTATTAAGCCCCGCAAGAAAACGCAGTAGATACTCCAGCGCAGTAGACTACTGCAATCATACTGCAAACCGCAGTAGACTACTGCAATCATACTGCAAACATGCTTCAAATCTGCTTCGATTTGGGAGCTAATTAGCATATTTGAAACATGCTTCTATCATGCTGCTAATCTACTGCATTAATGCTCCTCTCTGTACAAAACTATGTACTTTTTGGAGTAGAATTGCAGTAGGCTATGCTGCATTTCTACTGCAAATATGCTCCACACCACTTCTGAGTTAATGCTTTTTTGCTACTTCGATACTACTGCATTTTCGTGCGGGAGACCACAGCGATGCCAAATTTCATAGTCGCAGAAAGGACGCCGTCCAGTGTAAAAGGCCAGCCTCCGAGTTTTTTAACACATTTATTTTCATTCAACGTGAGACGTACATGAGGCACATTTAAAGTAGAGCATAATCTTTCTAGCACCACAAGGGGTCACATTCTTTTTTGTGGACGCTTTGGGTAATTTATACAGTCTGCCTGCCGTTAATAATGCGCATAGTTATACAGCAACTGCACACAGAGCAGTTTAAATATAACCAGCGCGCCCTAAATTCTGCCTTCGAACATAATAGGCAAGAGTCCTATATTTATTTAGGCCTTTTCTAGGGCGCAACAAACAAGCCGTCCATATAAAACCGGTTTGCAAGGTACGTTTTAGTTAGTGTATTTACAGGAGCCTGTAAGCAGGTCAAAGGAAAAAGGTATGTATGATTAACATTTTTTTGGATTTTCTTTAGGTCTATACTTCTATTGATGGCTATTCCTGACAGTTAAATGTGACGTCTTATTTAGACTAAGGAACTATTCCAAACCCTATCGTACTAACTCTGGATGGATCTCTTCAATTCAACTTAAGCGGCTTAGACCCCTGTCACGCCTCCTGAAGCCTCTAGAGGGTAATGAATTATCGTTAAGCAGCTTCAGTAGGCATACCAGACACCTAAGCCGCCGAAGCTGAAAGCAATTTAACGAGAAATCCCTTGGATATGGATCGATCCTGTTAGAGCGATCTAGGGTATGGGGGCCCAGTCTTAATTTCTTTTTAGATCTACCGAAAGATTTGCTGCACAAAGCAAGCTCAATGGGGATATTAAGATAGCATACATACCCAGGGATGTTATGTGACCGTGGCGATATGATGATCACTGAAGCCTGTCCCTTTAGGCAAGCTTCAGTGAAGATCGAGGGCAACCTCGAGCCGCTGCCCAAAAATATCTCGCTTCACTTGACATTTCTGCGTAGCGTCTCTCGGAATATTCGGATTTAACCTCGATGTTGTCTAAAACTTCACGACTACATCTTGCTTAAATCAGTCTAGGTCTCTTAAATGCTGGAAGTCAAAGACAGACTGATCATGAGACCTTCTTGGCATCACGAGAATAGAATAGTGACGTTGCTTGCGTTATATATCTACCAGTAGACAAATTTAAAATCTCTGACGCTCTTAAAAAATTGCATAAACCTTTCACGTTTAACAATTATTATTTGGCATCAAGAGAATAGTGACGTTGTTTGCGTTATATATCTACCAGTAGACACATTTTAAATCTCTCACACTCTTAAAAAATTAGCATAAACATTTCACGTTTAACAATTATTATTTATAATTTTATTACATCATCATATGGATATGGTTTGAAAACGGGATTTAGTTTTAAGCCACACGCGAATCATTTAGTGATAGACCCTTTCTACTCATGTGAGAGATAGAGAGAGAGAAAGAGAGATATTTATGGTTAGTTTAAAGGACATGTAGCAGGTTGCCAGTATGTTAAGATCAGATGTCAATTGAGGGAAAATCCCATCTGCTGTTATTTTGAAAAACAGGGTGTACTGATTTGTAGATAATTTTATTTTAAATTTACTGTTAAATCTTTCTTTTAGACTACTCACGATGTGGCTGTATCTGGTGGCTGTTTTCGTCATCCTGGCGTCAGTATGGCTGTGGTACGTACAATACTACATCAAATGTGGTATTGTAGTAGGTATAATATATCACTATATCATAGTATGGCTGTGGTAGGTACAATATATCACCAAATACAAACGTGATATTGTAGTGGATTTAAAACCGAGCATACATATACGTATACATATAACTAATTTGATCATTTGACTAGCACAGTTTGGAATTCACGTTTTGCAATAATGAAACAATTACTACAGTGTGGACGTTCCCCTAATTAGCTGTGACTATAATACATGCTACATGCACAAGAGTTGTCAAAAATCTCTCGACTTCTCCAAGCTCTAATTGACAATTTACTGTGATACATGTAATAAAAGTGAGTGACCCGTCAAGTACTCTGAATAAGAAATATAATTATTATCACAAGCATTGCATTATTATTACAAGGCGGATCTAGGATTATTTGAAGAGAGGGGTCCGCTTAATGGCCCCGACACATTTTTGGTATTTTCGAATGCGAACAGTGCTATTTGGTACGATTTAGAACTATGATTCAGCTAGTGAGCAAAAAGGTTCATTAGCTTGGTTGTTGGAAAAATATGAAAATTCTCAGACACAAGCCTAAAATTTTCCGTACTCACGTCAGTCTGATGAAGGCCTTCGACCAGGTTGGCCGTAAGCTAACGGTACGGAAAATTTTAGGCTTGTGTCTGAGAATTTTCATATTTATGATTCAGCTAGTTGAAATTCTAATTTCAAGAGAGGACCATTGGTGATTTTTCTTCAGAAATCGAAAGGGGTCAGGGCCTCCAATACCTCTCTCCCCTAAATTTGCCACTGTATTATACCTATCCCTAACTAAGATAAACAGCCCGTGTTATTTTGCATTTAGGCAGAGGATAGACAGTTTCCGTGTGTTCAAGAAGATGGGAATCAACGGTCCTCCGCCAAACCTCATATTCGGAAATTTCAGACAGATAATGGTTTGTTTTCACATTGGAAAATAACAAAACTGCAAATAAACAGTGTATTTTTAATCAGATAATTGTGAAAAATTACTAGCTCATTCCCGAAATGATGAAATACGCTGTATTTACTATCAACGTATAAAGTGATTGCCAGTTGTAATATCATACATGTGGAAGGCTTTTCACAAGTAGTTGCCCTCGTCGTTACTTTATCCCAGTAACACCGTGCATGTATGGGGAAACAGCATTCATGTCGATTGTGTCCTCAGGTGACCATGATATTTAAGCTGCAATAACCTTTAATTACAATTATACTTTTGAAAAGGACGTAGGGACATTTGTTCACGTTTTGGGTTGCTATATCAAAGTCAAATGTTTACTATGTAAAGCCGTTCCAATTTGCATCCAGAGTTTGTAAAAATATATAACTCACTATGGATACCAATATTTGAACTACAAAAATCAGTCAATAGTGAAATGCACATTCATTTTGATCTAGTCCCAGCCAGTTTGGATGGCATACAGAAAGTGGGAACAGCTCTATGGAAAAACGTTTGGGTATGTATGAACGCACTCTTCACATATATACAACATATTCTCAAGTCCTTTTTAGTCTTTATTATCATTTACTATTTTTGTTGCTTTAAGCAACTCTTCAAAAGATTGGTGCGTAATCGCCACTATTTATTGCGATACATGCCAGATATATAATACCAGTTTTCCAAAGCATATTTTAACAGGGTATTGTCTTTATTTTAGGGTCTTCTTCCTCAGTTCTCCCAGTATAGTGACCTCAGATGTCGATTTTCTGCAAGAAGTCTTTGTCAAACAGTTCAGTAATTTTCACCAAAGAGCAGTGAGTAACAATTATCAATAATACCATAAAGATTTATAGGTGGTATTATCATCAAAATTATTTCCCCCAAACATGCCGCTTACCAAGAATCTCATGAGCATTGCGTTTTCATTTTGATTAGTTGACCAGTGCATTTAAGACCCGATTCCCATGGATACTATCTGTCCATGTCAGACGACCCAACTCTGCAGGGGCTCTTGCTAAGTGCAATCTGCTTTACTGAACGACACACCTTCTCCTGTTTCAAACTTACTCGTTTAACCACCAACTTAATTTTTTTCTTGTATTCTTCTTAACGGCAGGAGGAGGCGTGACATTCAGTTGTTGCAGACAGCGAGCGTCCCCACGGAGTTAAGTCGATCGATGGTAGACCGATGGTGACTCTGTGAATGAGACCTTAGAAAATGTTTATTGTCGGGCTGGCTAGACGATGTTTTGGGGTGAAATAGAATCAATTTGAATTCATTTTTTTTAGATTCCTAATTCAATAGACACGGAAGATGAAGAAACACAGATGGTTTTCGCGAAAGGAAAACGATGGAAGCGCTTACGTGTAATAATCAACCCGACCTTCTCCTCCCTCAAATTGAAACAAGTAAGAAAACATATGATTATGAAAAGTAAAAAGTTCGGTTCGAGACTTAACGTGTCGGCATAAGATGCTTCTGTCGTATACAATCCTGAGTACTCCGACCCCCAAGGTGATAGCTTTATTTGATCTCTCTTCGATAAATATGCGGTTGTATAGACTGTGGCATGTGTAGCTTCGTTTCATTGCAGATGGCGCCAATGATCCAGGAGTCGGTGAACAGTTTCATAGATTCAATGGAGAAGCGTTGCCAGGAAGAAAAACCGTTCGATATCCACGGGTAAGTACTAACTACTGACAAAGTCACGTAAAGTTTCACAGCTTGAATGGAAATGGATGAATAAAGCCGAACGTTAGATGTCAGCTTCGCGATTTCAATAAAATCGTACGTTTATGTACGTTTCCCTATGGTATTTAACCTCGAGCTTCAGTTTTCTGAATAATGTTCAGTGTAACAAGACGTAAGAGCTGGTGACGTTTGTGTGACAGACAGTGGGATAGACAGAGGGGCTTTAGACGTTACGACTGTATTAAAAAAGGATGAGGTTCGGGGGAGATTTAATCCTCCTGCACATTAAAAGTACCAGACATACATTCTTTATATAGTTCTTTTCATCCTCTTACGCGTACAAATGCATATACACAGATTCCGTAGCCGCCATTATCATGTTTTTGTAACGATATCTCCCTCTCTCTCTCTCTCTCTCTCTCTCTTTCTCTCTCTGTAACTGGAGTTTGATAAAGCTAGCTGTGATTTCGGGTTATTCAATACGCTATATTTTGTGGTATATAATTTCAGTGAATTCCAAGGCCTTACCCTGGAAGTCATTGGCTCATGTGGCTTTGGTCTCGAGATTAACTCAGTGCGAGATAACACGTCACCATTTTTGGCAGCATGTCGTAAAGTGTTCAGCACGTCACTGATGATGAAGTGGCCAATGTTAATTTCCGGTATGTTCACGTCATAACAATGTTAATTTTAGAAAGAATAGGCCAGTTTTAGAGAAAGTCTAAAGTCTTTTAGAGAAAGTCTTAAGTACTGAGACTTAAAATATAGCTGCAAGAATGTTTTCAGTTTATTGTTTATTTAAACTATGTGCAATATTCATCTTCTTACAGTGTACTATGAATTATTCTAGACCCAAATTATAAACACATCTAAAGTTACTTGTATATCATTTTTGTGAAGTGCAAGTTTGGGTTGGCAGATTTGAGATAACCACAGATGTAATTTTTGCTGATATTTACCAACATTGTAGAAAATGTATATCAATGAATACTGGTGTTCAAACCAATAAGCGCATTGAACGCTACTTATAAAGTTAAGGATCAAACTATCATTAAAGCAAATCGTATTTTTATACGATCTGTACCTTATATATGTCTCTGTTTGCAGATCTTTTCCCATCGTTGACCGGTCTAGCCAAGGTGTGGAACAAATATCTGATGAGAAAGACGAGACATGACATAAATGTACTTGCCAGGGCTGCCGTACAGTCCAGATTAAATGATCCAAAGGTAAACTATAAACAATGCAAAACTCCAAAGCTTCCGGCTTTTTTCTTTCTCTGTTTGGGCGTTTTTATCCAATATATTTATTTGATGACAATTACAATTGTTATAGTTATAATGTCAATAATTTGATTAAGGTGAATAATTGAAATGAGATGAGATGAGATGAGATCACATATATCAAATACAGTTAAAACAACGTGAATAAATACCCTTCAACAAAGTATTTCAGTGACCAATAAACTAATTGAAACTGGTTGACAATCATGTAGTAAACTTTCAGTCTCGACGCGTGGATCTTCTACAGCTAATGTTGGACGCCAGAACTGACAATCTGGACTCGACTGTACCCCAAGCGATGACGGACAGTGACGTAATAACAACACAAGAGGGAGGCGAAACGGGTCAGCAGAACGACTCTTCGTCATCTCAAAGAAGAATTACACAGAAGGCCAAACTCACAGAAAAGGTAAAAATTAATCTTGTGTGTTTGTTGGTGTGTTTGTGTGCCAAAAAATCTCACGCTTCACGGCTATATGCAGACACGTTAATTAATGCCAACACAAGCAGCACCATTATTTCAGTAAAAGATGACTGAGCAATCATGGGTAGCTATGGTATTTTTATCTTTAGGAGATCCAAACGCAGTGTTCGTCGTTTCTGTTGGCTGGATATGAAACCACCAGCACCGCCCTGGCCTACGCCGCCTACCACCTAGCAACGAGTCCAGAGGCGCAGAAAGCTCTCCAGGAGGAGGTAGACCAATACTGCATTGGAGAGGTAGGACAGCAAGCATATCTCTCTTGAATGGAAGCGACTATATATTGAAACAGCGGTGTATGAATATACACGCAGTTGGATTTGGAGTAATATAGTTGGATTTGGATGTAGCTTCTGTACACACCTTTTTTAGAGCGAAACGGGGGACGTGTACTATTATGTGCTGCAAAGTGCTGCAAAGGTTTATAACTGATGCAGAGTGACATATTTTTTAGAAGATGAGCCAACCATTACCTATACATGAGGTATTGATCGTAAATGTGCATACATTGTGTTGATGTCGTGATTTTAAGGCGAAAATAGGAGAATTTGATTTCAATTTCCGTATGGAAAGAATTATCTTTGTCATGTTGATTCATTATGGTTGTTAATTAGTCTTTTTTCAAAACTCTTTTAGGGTCCTCCATCGTATGAGACCATAAGTAAGATGCAGTATTTGGACATGTTCCTCAAGGAAACGCTACGACTACACCCTGTCGCTTCAGTGTAAGTGGACTCAAAAATACAAATTTAATTAACATTTATATTCTTATATAAAAGGTTAGTATAAGCAGCTACATACTTTATTTTTCGCTAAGGAAATAACCATTAATGAATTATTGGGAGCACCTGCTTTGTTCTACCCTTTCCCTACATACCCTTTCTTTGGAAACGGATTCTAAAGAATGAGGTTAGTCATTTTTCAGGGAAATAGGTTTTTCATTGGCTTTTGTGTAATGATTAAATATTGAATCGTTTATGAGGAAGTCTTGTAATCAGGGTCTTTTAAGGAAAAGTCTTATAGATAGAAAGCACAATTTGGGTAGAATAAGCCTCTTTAGAAACGATTACTTTTCATCATGGACTCCTTTGTCAAACTACTTCTATAAACCAGTATGTTTTCACTAGTGGACCAGAGAGAACAGCCGAGGAATCATGCACAGTGATGGGTGTTCACATTCCCAAAGGCATGAGTGTCCGCTGTAACATATACAGTATCCACATGGATCCCGATCACTGGGGACCCCCAGATCCCAGCCTCTTCTGTCCTGAACGGTAAGGTGCTGCCGTCTATCGATTTTTATATGATATTGCTATATATCAAGTTTAAAACGAGTTGTTGTAAACTGAGATAAACTATGGAACTATTATTAAATCTAAATCTTTGTGCTTACATTTGAAATGTTTGAGTCTTAACTTTTCAGTTTTTTTCTCTCAAAAGCCCTTTCAATCTTGTTTATTATCCTATTACCTTATATTTGATTATAAAAATAAATAAATAACTTTTCGGAGGATGCTTTTAGTTATTAGAAAAATCGTTTTTATTTTAATAATAAATGTCAAAGCTTTGTAATTGTAAAGTCATCCAATTGCCATCCAAGCGTATTCATGCTCAGCTATAGTCGTTGGTGTACACGGTTCACGTGACGTGACGTGTAACTGTACATCATCTTTGTTCTGTTCTTCTATCCAGGTTCACAGCAGAGAGGATTGCTAAGCGTCACCCTATGGCCTGGCTTCCATTTGGGGCAGGCCCCAGAAACTGCATTGGTATGAGGTTCGCCCTGATGAAGGCCAAGATGACCTTGGCGTGTCTCGTGAAGAAGTTCAGCGTTGAGAGCTGTTCAGAGACGCAGATCCCACTGGTTCACGTAGCCAAGAGCACAGTGCAGCCAGAGAAAGGTGTCACCGTGCGTCTTACAAGGCGGAATGTAGTGGTCAATAATACTGAATAATAGACATTAACTGAACGTATTCACAAGGTTCCATAGCACGTGTCATAATTGTCAATATCTGTCAGCAAGACTTAGCTTACATACTTTTTCAATTTAATCAACATACTTTTTATAGAGATATTATTTCACAATGCGTTTTAAAACAATGTGCAGCGTAACTCCAGCTATCCAATATGAGATGTCTGTACACATACCAATATACAGTGATGAATATAACAAATATGTTTTCATTTTTCATATAAAAGTTTATTTGTTGTATTTTATGTATTGAATATTGGGAATTAATGCATTTCATGTATTGTATATATATAATTATTATTTTTTATGTAATGTATAGAGATAATAAGCTGGATCTTAACGTATCAGACATTTATACTGACATGAACATCAAGAGGTTTGAGAGAAATATCGCAACTCGGTTTAGGTTGTCATCTCACGAATTGTCAGTGAAGGAGGGCCTCCCCTCCCGCACCCCTATAGAGGATCGAAAGTGTATCTGTGGTACCGGTGAAATCCAAACATTTTGTGTTTTTATTGTATGACAATCTGTATACGCGAGGAATATCCTGCGTTAGATTTTAGAGAGGCGGAACTATACGCACGATGTGTGTCATTGTAAATATGCTGTAAACTGTTTGTTTACCTAGGTTGTAGCTAGCTTCGTCGGGTAGGTGATCAGTTGAAGTTCCGTTTTGGGGAATATCGCCATGTTCAAAACAAGACCCTGCTATTTTTGCATCCAAAGAAAGCTGGAAAAGCAAAGTAAATGATTTCTGCAGAGTCATTCGAAGAGTTTAGATTTCATTCGAAAATATTGGATCATTGAACAACGGCAGCACTGATATAGATCAAGGCAGTATTGTTCATCATTTTGATTTTGAATTATACTCATACGCGTCTGACAGCGGTTATGGTGGGTACATTGTTAACTCGTCCGTATTAGACTCGGACAGCGATACTAACGTCCTTCATCCAAGTATCGATAATTTTCAAGGTAGTTAAGATTTTCTTGATTCAAGCAGAGAGTTCGATTTCAAGAGTCAGAAAGAAATTGGAAGAGGTTTGCCCTGCATTTTTGGAATCGAGGGTACATAACATGTCACATTCAACTGGGGGTTGCAAAACAATTCCCTCATTTGAAGTAGACAGCTTCATTGCGAGGAACATAACTAGGTCAAGGTCACACCCCGTTTTGTTATTTCCGAGCGTGTATGCGGTTTCGAGGGCACATTGTGCGTCACATTTGGTTGACGATGGCAAAATGAATGTGCCTCTGACAGACAATATTCTCAATGCGGGGAAAAACAATGAGCTTCATCCGTTTGTATGAGATTCGAGTGTGTGTGAGGCTTCGGGAACATTGCGCCTCACATTTAGATGTCTGTCACTCTAGATCTCTGAATATCATGTATATTCATTATCAAATATATTTTATAGGGCGTTGATTTGTACAAATTAGCACATTTCCGTCCTGTCACGAATCTTCAACAGTGAAGTGAGATATCTCAGTTGTTGGCATATCTCTAAACATTCTGCAACCTGTACAATTCTTAAGGTCAATAGATGTATAAAATGTAAACAAAAGTGAATTTACTCAACGAATTTATGACGTATCAAAAGATGGATAATGTTTACATTTGCTTAAAGTATCAAGTATCAGATAATAATAAGACATACAAGGCATATTCACCAAACGCATTTTACATGCTGTTATATACATAGGTGATACGTTTGAAAAGTCTACAATCAATAATTTATTCCTTGTAAAATATTTTGGGGAGTTTTCCTTGTCAAACATTCAACCGAAGCACAGACATAATAACATCTGTAAACTGACCTTTTCAAAAGTACACTGTACATCATGCTTAATGCTAGCTACGTCTTTTGAATGACCTTATGACCGATCGTAATATCACCACGTAAACTAGACAAAACTGTACTTTAACTTGTCTGAATAACAAAGTGTAAAGAACCTCTTAGATGGGGTCATTTTCTTCCTTCTGTAACATTTAACTGATGTTACAAAAGGAAAAAAAAACATCGCCTATCTCTAACAACGAGAAGCTGAGCCTCTTTGTTATAAAGTGAAAGTTCCTCTGATGTCAGGTACGTGATAATTGACGTAAGGTTCTTGTATTCACGTTGGAAATGTGCCTTCCTCTCGTGTTTACATTACACCATCGACCGAAAAAAATATTTCTCAACATTAAAGAACCTTGAAAGGCTCCAGGGTCCAACTACCGGTAGTCCCGTAGTTTCTGAGCACGAAACATCCTTAGGAGGGCAAAGCAAGTCGTTATGAACGTTTTAATTATAGCAGGAGCAATGCTCCGGGATATGCTATACTTTTGAGGACAGAGAAAGAAGACAAGGCCAAGACCTTGATGACGTAGAGTTAGTTCGTTATCGCCCTATGGTGACAGTAAATAATGAAACTCAGAGAGTTGACTGAACTAGTGCGCCAGCGACGGCCCCGCTTACTAATANGGTATATACATAATTATTATTTTTTATGTAATGTATAGAGATAATAAGCTGGATCTTAACGTATCAGACATTTATACTGACATGAACATCAAGAGGTTTGAAATATCGCAACTCGGTTTAGGTTGTCATCTCACGAATTGTCAGTGAAGGAGGGCCTCCCCTCCCGCACCCCTATAGAGGATCGAAAGTGTATCTGTGGTACCGGTGAAATCGAAACATTTTGTGTTTTTATTGTATGACAATCTGTATACGCAAGGAATATCCTGCGTTAGATTTTAGGGAGGCGGAACTATACGCACGATGTGTGTCATTGTAAATATGCTGTAAACTGTTTGTTTACCTAGGTTGTAGCTAGCTTCGTCGGGGAGGTGATCAGTTGAAGTTCCGTTTTGGGGAATATCGCCATGTTCAAAACAAGACCCTGCTATTTTTGCATCCAAAGAAAGCTGGAAAAGCAAAGTAAATGATTTCTGCAGAGTCATTCGAAGAGTTTAGATTTCATTCGAAAATATTGGATCATTGAACAACGGCAGCACTGATATAGATCAAGGCAGTATTGTTCATCATTTTGATTTTGAATTATACTCATACGCGTCTGACAGCGGTTATGGTGGGTACATTGTTAACTCGTCCGTATTAGACTCGGACAGCGATACTAACGTCCTTCATCCAAGTATCGATAATTTTCAAGGTAGTTAAGATTTTCCTGATTCAAGCAGAGAGTTCGATTTCAAGAGTCAGAAAGAAATTGGAAGAGGTTTGCCCTGCATTTTTGGAATCGAGGGTACATAACATGTCACATTCAACTGGGGGTTGCAAAACAATTCCCTCATTTGAAGTAGACAGCTTCATTGCGAGGAACATAACTAGGTCAAGGTCACACCCCGTTTTGTTATTTCCGAGCGTGTATGCGGTTTCGACGTCACATTTGGTTGACGATGGCAAAATGAATGTGCCTCTGACAGACAATATTCTCAATGCGAGGAAAAACAATGAGCTTCATCCGTTTGTATGAGATTCGAGTGTGTGTGAGGCTTCGGGAACATTGCGCGTCACATTTAGATGTCTGTCACTCTAGATCTCTGAATATCATGTATATTCATTATCAAATATATTTTATAGGGCGTTGATTTGTACAAGTTAGCACATTTCCGTCCTGTCACGAATCTTCAACAGTGAAGTGAGTTATCTCAGTTGTTGGCATATCTCTAAACATTCTGCAACCTGTACAATTATTAAGGTCAATAGATGTATAAAATGTAAACAAAAGTGAATTTACTCAACGAATTTATGACGTATCAAAAGATGAATAATGTTTACATTTGCTTAAAGTATCAAGTATCAGAAAATAATTAGACATATTCACCAAACGCATTTTACATGCTGTTATATACATAGGTGATACGTTTGAAAAGTCTACAATCAATAATTTATTCCTTGTAAAATATTTTGGGGAGTTTTCCTTGTCAAACATTCAACCGAAGCACAAACATAATAACATCTGTAAACTGACCTTTTCAAAAGTACACTGTACATCATGCTTAATGCTAGCTACGTCTTTTGAATGACCTTATGACCGATCGTAATATCACCACGTAAACTAGACAAAACTGTACTTTAACTTGTCTGAATAACAAAGTGTAAAGAACCTCTTAGATGGGGTGATTTTCTTCCTTCTGTAACATTTAACTGATGTTAGAAAAGGAAAAAAAAAAAAAAAACATCGCCTATCTCTAACAACGAGAAGCTGAGCCTCTTTGTTATAAAGTGAAAGTTCCTCTGATGTCAGGTAGGTGATAATTGACGTAAGGTTCTTGTATTCACGTTGGAAATGTGCCTTCCTCTCGTGTTTACATTACACCATCGACCGAAAAAAATATTTCTCAACATTAAAGAACCTTGAAAGGCTCCAGGGTCCAACTAGTCCCGTAGTTTCTGAGCACGAAACATCCTTAGGAGGACAAAGCAAGTCGTTATGGAATTTTTAATTATAGCAGGAGCGATGCTCCGGGATATGCTATACTTTTGAGGACAGAGAAAGAAGACAAGGCCAAGACCTTGATGACGTAGAGTTAGTTCGTTATCGCCCCATGGCGACAGTAAATAATGAAACTCTGAGTGAGTTGACTGAACTAGTGCGCCAGCGACGACCCCGCTTACTAATTATAGATGATTAGCTTCCTTTGAATCCGGCACAGTTCCTAGACCGGGACCCTCCGCCGAAGCCAGACATGGCCGTTGGCCAGCTCTTGGGCCTTCCCTTTACCCCGAGAGGGCACGTGAGTAAGCACCTGGGGGTTAAAAAAAAAAAAAAAAAAAAAAAACATTCGGCTCTGTTTCAGTACAACAGACACCGAGCTGATGGCGCAATTAATAAGAGCATGAAAGATCACCCAGGGGATGTCTCTGCAGCTGTGTTAGACTGACAAGGCCCTTCAGCACGTTATGCCAGGTTTGCCAGCCTTACTAGGGGAGCACTTAGCAGGACCTTAATCTCTCCATCAGGAGCTGGACCCCCCTTTCCAAACCCTGTATCTGCACTTGTTTAAAATTTGTATCTATTAGTTTGGGAAACGTTATCCCTGATCCTGAGACAATCTACGAAATGAAGTCCAATTGGCGTGTTGTGTTGAAAAAATGACTGTACTTATGGCAAAATGAACCCACACCCCATCCCATACCCTCCCCCCTCGGGGGGCTTTGCACCCTCGTGTCCACTTACTGCCTCCCCTGGCATTTTGTTCAGGCTACGGCCCT